AAGAGGCCCTAGGAACTCGTTTTGAGGACTTTTGACACCATTGGAGGCCTAGAGAAAGCACGAAACACACGAGGAATTCGAGGAAGTCAAGATTGAAGATTCGGGAACTAACGGCGACAATAGTTCTTCTTTCTTTTCTTTTTTTCTTCTTCATTGAACTCATGGATTTATTTATTTTGAGTTTTGAGAATATGTTTAGTAGCTAAACCCTTTAGGGATTCTAGGATTTGCGAGTACTCGGATTATTTTATGAAGTGATTTTGTTTATTCATTCAGGTTTATCATTTGTTTATCAATTTCTTGTGCTTTTATCAATTGTGTGAATATAAGGGCCCGTATTTATGCATAGTTGTGATTGACTTGAGACCGAGAAGAGATAGTTGATTGCTAGAATTGGGAAATTCATAATGTAAGGGACTAAACAGACCGAGAGGTTGATAGAATCTTGCGAGGGAACTAGAATCTTAGGAGTTTATGGGAGTTGATTGTTCATCTTGAGACCGAGAGGAGATAGATAACAATTAATATCTACGATTTAACTTGTTCGAGAGAAAGGTGTAAATTACTTTAGCGATTATCCCTACGAATGGTAGAATTAAATAAGGTTTGAATGAATAATTAATCTTTGCTAGAATAATCCCGAGGAAAGCATAGCTTAGAATCTATTTTCTCATTCTTGATTTATTTTAGAACAAGCCTTCATTAGTGTTAGAATTTATTTTGCATCATTCATTAGTTTAGAATAAAATCACCATTCAAATTTGCATTAGACTGAATAATATTTAACCGTTTACATTTTGATACTTAGTTATTTTGACAACAATCTCTGTGGAATACGACCTTGCTCGCCACTCACTACAGCTATACCGTACACTTGCGGATAGTGAAAATATTTTGCGAACAGTGTACGCGGCGGAGGAACCGGGTGGTGTGCGAGGGGAGGATGTTGGGTGGTTAGCACACACCGCGATCGGCCAAGGATGAGCAGTGGGGACCAACGTGCGGGCTACACGCGTGACAACCGATGGCACGCGAGAGGACGCGAGCGAAGAAGGCGCTTGCGTAAAGACCGCATCCGCGCGCAACGCGTACAGACACGCGGGCAGGTGCGACAACGCGCGAGAGACAGCTGGCGGGCGCAGGAGGCGCAACGTGCAAGGGCAGGCGAGCATGAGTCCTCGAAGGACTAGGAGTATCGCCGCCTAAGGATAAACAACACGACTTGGGGCGCAAGGCAGAAGACGCTTGGGACGCGTGGGGGCGTGATGAAGACCATGACCTCGGAGGACAAGGACTAGCCGTCGCAGCTAGGGTTTGGACGAGGCGTGCGGCGCAAGACGCATGAAGCTTCTAGATGGCCAAGGGCCGATTTTCATAGCATGATTAGGAATATTAGTATGATTAGGATTTGGAATAAAAGGCATGTGCCTAATAGTATCTTAGTAGTTTTGGTAAATCTTTATTCATTAGATATTTAGTTTCCTTAGGACTTTATTTATTACCAAGCATTAGGAGTTCTTCTTAGACTAGGATTAGACTTAGTTTGGCATCTATAAATATGCCCCATTGTCACTCGAAATATTATGTCTTGAATTAATGAAAAAACCGAACTTTGTGTTCAAATCCTTGTGTTAGATTTCTTTTGAGATTTAGTGCAAAACCCTTGTTACGAGAAGGGCGTTCCACCGCATTGCTCGAGCAAGACGAGTTTGGCAAGGATTCACGTCTGAGCTGTCTCACCTATCGCGAGAAGATAAGGAGCTCAACCTCCGAGTCGTCCGCAACCCTACCCGAGTATCTACGCATACGCCAAGTCTGAGGCTAGGTTCGAGTCGGAACACGCGATTATTCATCACATGCACAGCACGGAGTCCAACGCCCGTCCGTCTCGCGGATCATCCCTCTCACGCGACCCACAGTGTCCCAACTTGACGCGCAGAGGGATACGCGAGTTCTTCGTGCAACCACGTGCTTCCCAGTGTCTTCGCGCGACCCGGGTTCCTAGCGATTCGCATGCAATTCCTCTATGTCCCTGCGACCAGCGTACGAGGTCTTTCCGTGCCAGCGTGCACCGAACATCCCCAGCACGCCCCAGCGTGCAGCCCGCGTGCTCCTAGTACCAGACTCGAGTATGTCCGGCCAGCAGCGGTCCAGTCCAGTTCACCTGCGCGCCCAGCACGCGGTTCGAGCCCAACCTAGTTCAGCAGCAGTGCAAGAGTCCCGGTGAACCCATGGCGAGTCTCGGGTGATTCAACCAAGCCACCGAAAGCCTGAGACGGTCCGACGGGAGCGACGAGTGATCGGGATGTGTGACGCGAGACACGGTCGAGGTCTAATGGCGGCGAGCGTTCAAACGATCTCAGTCAACAAAAATCAGAAACGTTTTAGAGTCGACAAAATTTTAAAACTGTAAGTCTTAATCTTAACTATAGATTCCGCTTCGTTAGAATTTACTTCAATAGATTCAAAGGTGCACATCGACGATGTTTCTAATAGAACCCAACACACCCACAACCGGTATCTTTTGGTGCCACTTTCTCATTTTGTTTAATCATCAAATGGTAGCTTCTAGTACCACATCATCATTTCGTTTAATCATAACATGGTAGTTTCTAGTGCCACTATACCAAGATATCATTTAATCCTCATGTAGTACCTTCTAGTACCACTTCATAAAATTTTGTTTCTCATTAATGAATTTGGAGAATTTATCAACTGTTTCTTTAGAATCAGGTTAGTACATATAATGTCCGTTCACGATCAAGACTTTCGTCAACTTTTGACATGACAAGATACAAAGTATCATTCATTTCACTCATCGACTATCACTAATGAGTTCTGCCCGTCGCCGACAGTGGAGCCGCACTGGCCGGTCCATGTGTATAGACTATAGAGTCATCATATCTTTTTACATGTACTATTTATTGCAAGTGGCGTTACCACCCCACCCAGTCGCCTCACATCACCGATCATCATTATTTAATACGCTGGCCGATACACTTAGTCGTTCAAATTTTTTATTGTATTGTCTATTGTTGGTGGATACACTGCTCGACCATTCCACATAATCCTTCATATTTCTTATAATATTTTGATCAACAATTGACCCATTTGCTACTATTATATATTGTTTGTCGACGGCCAAGCCACACTGGCACGTAGCCACACAAACCTCTTTTCATATCATACGGGTCAATTCACAAATATTCATAATTTCAAATGATAAACCCTCCTTTTATTTTTTTCGGAACACAAATTTAAATATACCATTATGATAGTATATCTTGATTAACTTAGTAAATTATATCAATATTAATTTTAAATCGAAGCTCTATTTGAATCAAATATTATGAAATTGTAAAATTCTAATTCTAGTAATGTATGCCTTTGGTATTTGAGAAAACTGAATTTTAAAGTCTAATGAATCATTGAATTGTTTATAAGGCATTAAATTGTCCCAAATGCATATATCATGAACTCCCCATAATTATTATGTTGCAGACACTATCAATGAGTGCATTTGTTTCGTTTGACTAGTGAGTAGTAGTGCTACATGGTGTAGGGATCAATGGTTGATAGAAACAAAATTTATTGAGTGGTCCAAACTCATGTACACAGTCTTTATTTATTTTGTTAAAATTATTTTCAGACCAATCATTAAAAATTTGATTAACTAATGTTATTCTATATATCTTGTTCGTGAGATTGAGGATGCCTTTAAGTAGCTCGACCAACCCCTATCGAAAAGAAAAGTCAAAGATCATCGGCAAAAAACAAATGCGCCCACCCCTTGACCAAGTTGAATGGGCTTCCATCGACCAACTCGAACCTCCCTCTCAATTAGGTGGCTTAGTCTCTCCATACAAAAAACAAAAAGATATGAGGTTATCGGATCACCTGGTCCGGAGTAAAAGGATCCCAACTTCTCCTCTCAACTTCGTTGATCCTATATTATCACCTCCTTCAATTCGTTTTACGGCTTCATTCATTGACTTAACGTCCTGTTCGTTGCAACGCACAAAGGTTTCTCTGACGAGAATCCAATATAGCACCTATCTCTCAGTCTTAGGAACCTAAATTGGTATTCGCGGAGATGTTGTAACGAGACTCAGCAGGATTTTAGGGTGCATGCAACAAAATGCATTAATGTCAGTACTTGTTTTACTTGTTCCATTATATTTATATATTATTTATCAAACCAAATATCTTACCTTTTGGAATGGGTGTTTGCCGATAATGTCTTATTATTATTTTTTTCTTAATGTTATTCAAATGAATGAAATCAAAGTTGAAGTTTTATTATAACTTACCTGCCAACCTTTTGTTCTTTTCTTCCTCTTTACATGGCTCATGCAGTAGGAACTTGTGTTTCTTGCCACTGAGAGCATGGAGACTTGCTTACACCCATGGTTGCACATCTTTAAAATCTTGGGGCATGGGAAACCCAATATCATCTAATTGAAACCCAATATCAATCCCAAATATTGATTTATCCAACCCAATTGTCTCCCTTTGCATCCTCATGGATTCTAAATGTAAGATTTCACCCCCAAACCAAAATCGAACCAACAGACCCAATTCCTCTCGGTAGTCAAGCCTATAGCTCTAATCATGAAAAAGGGGCCCGAATGTTTTGTGCTAAATTTCAAGATTCTGCTGCTCAGGATATTCTTCATTGTGGGCAAGGAAATTTCTGAGAGTTTTGATAGGTGGGTTTTGTTGGCTGACACTTAATTTGAAATGGGTTTCTAGTTTAGCTAAATTCAAAGTACATGTTTTGGTATAAGTCGGATAGAATTGTTTGAAGAAAATAACGATTTGTAATACTCAAATTTGATACGGAGGATCATCTCTAAGATGCAACCGAGTATACTCTAGTTATATTACAAATAGAGCTCCAGATGGTAGAAACTCGTGCTGATAACATATTATAAAATTAAATGGAAAGAGAGACAACATAGAAAATGTATTCTCTTGGTATGATTTTCATTATAACTGAAGCTCCTATTTATAGGAAAACTTCAGACAACACAATTGTAATAATACAATTAAATCGAAGACAAAATAGTCATTCACATATACAGATATTTCATAACAATTATATAATTTTATTTTATTTATATTGCGGGTACATGCGCTGTTTGAGTAAATCTTGCAAGTATTTTAGGTAGAAAATGATCCTTGATATTGTCCAAGGATTTTTTCACAGACAATGAATGTGCTTGGCTCTTTGTATAGCTTCCTTTACCTTTCTCGATGGTTCCTCGTACAAGAAAGCCGGGTTCTCAAACTCCGGAGTCAAATTAGGCTCCCCGATCAATGCACGAAATGAGTGACCAACTGAATGCGAAAGGGACGTCAGGTTGTAACCGCCTTCAAGGAAGAACACACAACGGCCCCCACATAAATCCCTCGCCAGCTGTCGGATGCCCGAAGCCAGCATATAATACGTTCCTGTCGTAAACTGCAGGTTCGCCAGCGGGTCCAACACATGCGCGTCGTATCTGGCACATTTTGAGAGTTGATTTTTTTTTTTTTGGTAATTATTATGTCAAAAACCTCAAGGGCAGTTTTAGTTGGTCATCCTATAAAGTTATTTGAATACAAAAGTTTTGGGACAGTTAATAATAATTTACAGAAGCTGAACTTACCCAGCTGAAACGAGAATTATGTCAGGCTTGAACCTCCGAGCACTTGGCACGATAACTTCTTCAAAGACACTTTGCATGGCTCTATCTCCCGAGCCACCTGGCAAGGGCAGATTTAGGGTAGTTCCTTCACCAGCCCCAATACCTATCTGATTTATTTTACCAGTACCTGGGTAGCTCCCATCCTTCATTCGAGTAAAAATGTAAATGCTTATAATCTCAGAAACTGTATGTCAGCTTTCTAAATGTAATGGAGTTTACATAAAATGTGTTAAATTATCTTGAGAGTCAAGACACAGCATCAAAGGCTCTTAATATTGTCCTTTTATTCCTCGTTGCAATTTCATAAAATGTTGAAAACTTAAGAGCTCACGAATTTCAAATAAAGGGTGCTTTGAAAATAATATTAATAAGGTAAAATTGCATATTAATACACAACCTTTCGTGTTTTTGCAATTTAATCACCACTTTTAAAAATTTTGCAAATTAATACACCACCTTTATCATTTTTCAAATCGATATAGAATGACGGTTCCGTTAACAAAAATGTAACAAAAATCTGACATGGCATTAAGCCATGTCAATGCCATGTCAGATTTCTATTAACGGAACTGTCATTCATGTATCGATTTGATTCATGTATCGATTTGCAAAAATAGTAAAAGTGGTGTATTAATTTGCAAAAATTCAAATGTGGTGATTAAATTGCAAAAACATGAAAAATAGTGTATTAATATGTAATTTTTCCTATTAATAATACAGTCATCATCATCTAACCGGACTAGCTACTAGCTGATAACACCCAAAATATGTTATCTGGTACTAAAACAAGTTCTGCTATTCATCAATGGTCGAAAACTCGTGATATAGGTAGAAAGTTCACAAGAATGATTAATTATACAAACAACATAAGGTAGCAATAATGTGTAGCTTACTGAGTAAAGAGTAGAATACTAGAATATAGCTTACTTGGTGAGTGGAAAGAAAAAATATATCAGGATCATCATAGAAGGCATCATTGGTTCCATTCCCATGGTGTACGTCAAAATCAATGATAAAGACACGCTTCAATCCGTGAGCACGTTGAGCATAACGAGCGGCAATGGCAACATTTCCAAATACACAAAATCCCATTGGTCCAGCTGGCACAGCATGATGACCTGGCGGCCGGACTAAAGCAAAACCTACCAGTGGTTCTTCCTTCACTGTCGATGCTGCAACCTGCATTTATCAGTAAAAGAAAGAATCAGATTTCTTTAGATGTGCATATATCTATCTCAAATTAATTTAACACAAAATTCAAAACATAAAAGCATGACTACAAAGATTGACTTTTTAAGTGACTAACGTCTTAGATTGAGACATCACCACTGCATCCACCAATGAGAGCCCAGCACCAGCTGCCAATAAAGACTCCTGGAAGGTCTGTTTCAGTCAAGAACGCTAAATGAGCAAAATGAACTAACCAACATGCTATCAGAACTTATAATTTATCATCAGCGGCAGAGAAAGATTAATAGCTCATCAGGCCAACTACGCTACGGTGCGTGTTGGAAAGCAATAGGAAAAAAAAAAAAGAAAAAGTCAAAAGGGAAAAAAAAACTCACTTGAAAAATATAAAAATATGAAAAGAAATAATAAACAAAGATACAGCAACGTATTTAAAAAATGTAATTTGTGTTTTTAACCACATAACACTTTCTTGCAAATATTCACTCCTCAACAGGTGTAGGCTTGTAGTTGTTTTATCTATAATATTGGTCAAATGCATAGGTCAAGGTAAGAAACAACGAAGCTTAAACGAGAGTCCAAAAGTGTTTCTTACTGTGGAAGTAGCATAAGTTGGTCCAGAGCCTTCAATGAAAACAAGTCCTTGTTCTGAAGCCTGATCCATCGCCTATAGAGCATAAGGGAGTTGTATATGCGAGTACAATTGATGTAACATAATTTATTAGTAAGACGCCTCAAATTGAATTTGTTGATTTTCAGAAACTATCTGGTGCATGTTTCGTGCACCATTAGTCATGAAAAATTCACTAGCTATTTTTACTAGTGGCTCATGCTAAACAAATCAGCACAAATAATGATGCCAAATGGTTCAAGTTACAATATTTAACATGCCTAAGGCATTTGACGCAAAAATGAAGCCACAGAAAGGTTGCTCTGCTTTAATTGTCAGGTGGTGGCATAAATAAAACGGGCATTCCTCAGTATACATAAATTCCAAATCAATCTAATAAGCATGCATTGCCGCATTGACATTAAAAATCATATTTGATGCAAGTATTTACCTTCTCAAGTCCTGATACATAAGCTCTTTCATGAACACTAGCTATATCATCAATTGTAGCAGTCCTGAAGTTTGTAAGTTCAATAATCTCTGAGCCCCTAAACTGAAAACAAGAATAGTGAAATGGGAAAGAAGATGAAATCAGTTTGCACATGGACATTAGTTTCACAAGTGAATGAATAATCTATGTAATATAAATGATGGGTTAAAATTCTTTACAAGGAGGCACTTTTGCGTCAGCCCAAACTATTTTCTTTTTCATATTTAGTGAAGAACTGGAGAACATATCCAACAGAAATATTATTTTGTAATTTCACCAGTATCATTGGAACATACTAACTTGCTTAGAAGAAGTTGAGAGAATCAAGACAAACTACTTGGCTTAATGCCACTAGAAATATTATTGCATTATCTGTATCATATAATAATAACAATATACCTCTGGAGTTAACTTCATTTCTGCAAGAGCATTGACAATGGCAGGAACTCTGGAATTGCATTCAGGGTGTGAATCCTGATGGCATTAAATTTTAAAAGTGAGATAAACATCACAAAAGAAATTTCATATATCCAGATAAGCTACATTAAAACGCAATTGACACATAAGCAGTAAAACTAAACATTTAAATATAGATTCACCACTTGAGTGGACTTGGACCGTAATAAGGTTAATAAAACACACATGCAGAATTCAATCGTTTCCATACCTTGTTATGGCCCATGGCAGGAGCAACTGAATATATCAATTTGCCACTAAGTAACTCCGTTTCGGAAGGTAGAGAAGGACTATTTTCAGAGACATTCAGACAACATATGGAAATCCTTTTCTTGTGTTGAAAATATGCATTCAAAGATTTCACACCCCTCGGCGAAGAAGAATTTTTATTATAGTAACCTTGCATAATATGCTTTTTCCATCTGCATATGTGATGCCTATGCTTGAAGAATAACTCTCCTGCCAAGAGTAAAATAAAATACATATGACAGAAATCAAGTGCAGAGAAGGGTAGCTAAAATAAGATGTTTGCAGAAAAGGACCACATCGTCTTTTGTGCTTTACTTTTTCTTACAAGATACGATCGTTGCTCTTGGATTTTCACAAATACTATGTTCAATTTACCTTAGCATTCTCAAGTGATTTTTTATTCAGTTCATCATCAGGTAATAAATCTATGTTCTCAAATTTTGATACGCTCATGAACTAACAATATCATGAAAAAGAAATGGCTTGGAGCTTCAATGAATATTATACTAACTTAACTCATTAATTTGAAAATTCAGACACATTAATTTGAAAATCAAGTTTGTTTACTAGCAAGGAGATAAGCAAATAATCTACCTAGTTTATAAGAGAAACTGACTAATCCTATCCAAATAAATTATAAATGTAGATCTTACGCTGTTATGCTTTCACGATCTTCTTCCAGTTCCTCAGGTTGACTAACATATTTTAAAGTTTTATCGGCTTCGTGTGAATCCGGAATGATATTTGACATTTGGATTAGTATGAGACTTTATATACTCTAATAAATGTTAGGAGATGTGGCACACTTTGTCTCCTCGAGAAAATCCATAGGGCGTTACACATTGCTCCAATGCAAGCACACTTAAATTTGGAGTTTTTATGGGCTACATAAAGGAAAGAAGATTAACCTTGTTCATAGGAATTGTTCAAGCTTTTTCTCATATCAGGACCAATAGTGTTACACATATTGGTAGAGCCCATGTTCGAAAATTCAATTGAATGTATATTATATATGCAAGGTTAGTGATGGTGGTCCAATTAGATAGATATTATTGAAATATGATAACATTTCAAATAGATAGATTTAGTAGTGGTGGCCTCACAAGTATATATTGAGGAATATAAAATAAAAATGATGGATTGGTGATGAAAAATTATAAGGTCGTGATAGAGATCATGGTTGTGTTTGGCAAGGGAAGGTTTGGGCTAGAATTTGATGTTAGAGGCTTAATTAGAGATAAAACCAGTTAGATCATCTATCTGAATAGTTTCATGACGAGAGGCTTAGATTAACATCTTTGTTCCAAAATGCTAATTTCGGATAAGTTCCAAACATGAGCTAATTGTGTGGAGAAGATTGCAGTCTTTGCAGTTTATATAGATGGTAGTACTGCTGTATGTTTATATTATTATTTATTTCACGGCCATTTTATTAATTGAGTATTACTAATATTTATTTATACATATTTATAAATTAGCACCTAAAAGAATATGTGCAACTAAAATTTGTAAACTGATCACTATTATGAAGCTAATAATATTATTTAATTAATAAATTGATCATATAAACCTACATCCTAGATAAATATTCCGAATAAAAAGAATCTTTAATGACCTTATTGTTCTTTTACAACAATCCACTATTAGATATTAATCAATTACACAACACTTCCATACAGTTAGAATTAGCTATTCAAACCAATTGCCAAAGCAACTGGATATAATCAACTATCTGCTCTGAGTTAATACAATGAGCTATGAGTTATTTGCTATCCGCAAATCGCTATATATGTACGCCCGAGATGAGATGACGAAAAGGAAAACTGATAGGACGATCGAAAGCTTGATTGACAAAAGAGATCAGGGATAGGATATCTTTGTTTCTATGATTAGAGAGATGAGACTCGAGCTGTTTCATGCCAACAAGGTTCGATGTAATTGACTCCACTTGACGGGGAAGGGAAAGTCCATATATCGAATCTGAATTAAGCACTAGTGAAAATGTCCGCCACTTGATTGTTGCTACGAACAAGTCGAATGAGCAATTTGCCTCACCTCGCCCTCCGATTGACCAGCGAAATAATCCTTTGACAATGAGGCTGACTAGGGTGGTCGTAGATCAGAGCAAGATCGCGATGAAAGATAAATGAATGAGGAAGTGGGAGAGAAAGAGCTTCATCCTCATTGAAGAAGAAGAAAAAAAAAAAAGGATCGGAAAAATGTAGTTTCACGCTCTAGCTCTAACCAAGGATGAGTAAGGTTTCTCAATAACACCTTTCTCTCCAATTGGTTGAGATTCAGTGACTTTCAGGCTTTTGGAGCTTGCCCTTCTAGTAGGCCTTTGACTGAGACCCACGACTTCTTTCTTATTCTGAGGCCCCCTTCATATCCACCAAATTGGTCGTATTTCTAAATCCAAGGGTAATTATAGGCCGTGCAGCACGAAGCCGCTGATGCTGAGTCGGCTTCTATGCCGCTAGCTATGCTTGAGAGTTGAGGGCTGACTGAACCCGCGGGACTCAATTCAGAAGTGGATCAATAACTCCTTAGCTAAAGAATGAATCGACCAGGCACGATAGAAGGTTCAGGGAGACCAATTTGAGATTTCCTACTATCAGGCATCCGTCTGTATGAAGAAAGGCATTCTATTTGTATGAATAATTTGGGAAGTGAGATGAGGACTTGGAAACACAAAAGAAGAAATAGTTTTAACTACTTATCCTCAAGTATTATTCCCTAATATTCTACAATAAAGCTGCACAAGAATATTAAATACATCCCTTGAGCTAAAGCCACAGATACATTCGGTCATTTTTGTAAGCCTCCATACGTGAAATCACAGACACCAACGTTAAAAGAAAATACCAAACTGAATTGAAGCGCGCATGCATTCAGAACTCGAATTCAGGATTCAGGCCACAAAAGAGAAATTAAACAACGACATGAAAGAAGTGAGTGTGTGTGTGTGAGTGTACCAGCACAGGCAGAGGAGAAGGTGTGAAGCTCCATTCAGCAATCAGCACCACACGCAAACACAGGATAAGTTTTGAGCGGAAAAGGAGCTATTTATTAGTGCTATGTGTTGGGGCCTCCGAGTTCCCAACTGCTGCGTGATTTTGGGCCACTCTAATCAGCTCTGGCAATGTGGCCCACTTAAAGCCTGTTTTTATGTTTTTACTCTCTTACATATATGCAACATTTGTTTTTTTAAAAGAAAAATCGAATATATATATTAAAAATAAAACCATACGTAAATTATTTATAAACGAGTCATTAACAAGGTTTTAACAACCGATCGGTCATCGAACCTGTCAAACTACTAATTCAATGTTTCAGTGGTCCGACCAGTGGTTGAAGTATCTGATGCATGTTAGATTTTTTTTTTTTTTTTTTTTTTTTTTTCGCGACCCTATTTGGTC